AGCACATTTCATCCAAGTGAAGACCACTTAAACCAGTGCTAAGTTGGCCAAGATATACATGACCAGGATCGTATGTCTGCATGGAGTTCGGAGGAGCATTGTATCAGATAGAGGAACCCAGTTTACCTCAAAGTTCTGGAATCAGTTGCACGAAACTTTGGGTACCAGGCTAGAGTTCAGTACTACTTTTCACCCGCAGACAGATAGACAGAACGAGAGAGTCAATCAGATTTTGGAGGATATGCTGAGAGCCTGTGCGCTAGATTATGGATCAAGTTGGGATGACAATCTGCCATATGCAGAGTTTTCTTACAACAACAGTTATCAATTCAGTTTGAAGATGGCCCCTTTCGAAGCCTTGTATGGAAGGAGGTGTAGGACCCCGTTGTCATGGGATGAAGTTGGAGACCGCCAGTTGTTTGGACCGGATTTGATCAAGGAGTCTGAACAGAAGGTGAAGTTGATTTGCGATAGGCTGAAAGTAGCCCAGTCCAGGCAGAAGAGCTACGTAGATTCAAAATGCAAGGAGACAGTTTACGAAGTTGGGGACATAGTTTATCTTCGAGTATCTCCACTTCGAGGAGTTAAGCGTTTTGGTGTTAAGGGTAAATTAGCGCCACGTTTTGTGGGACCATACAACGTTTTGGGCTATTTTTTTTAAATAATACATTTTTTATATTAAATTTCAGAAATAGTACGCCGTAATTATATTTTTTTTAAATGTTACCCAATCGGCCTACTGCTGACCGATTGGATCTAGTCGGCCTACTGCTGGCCGATTGCCCCCCAGTCGGCCCACTGCTGGCTGATTGGATCCAGTCGGACCACTGCTGGCCGATTGGCCTCAGTCGGCCCACTGCTGGCCGATTGACACCCAGTCTGCTTCCTTTAGTCCGACAGGTGCATGCACCCATTTATCTGTTAAATAGGTATTTGAAAAATATTGAAGAAGTATTTGAAAAATATGTTGATCATGCATATAAAAATGTTATGCAAGCATTTAAAAAAATTTTGAACAATTATTTTAAAGATGTTGAACAAATATTTGAAAAATGTTGAATAGGTATTTGAAAAATATTAAATAAGCATTAAAAAATGTTGATCATGTATATAAAAATGTTAATCAAGCATTTGCAAAAAATGTTGAATAAGTATTTAAAAAAATGTTGAACAAGTATTTGAAAAAATATTAATCATCTATATAAAAATGTTAAACAAATATTTGTAAAAATGTTGAACAAGTATTTGAAAAAATATTAATCATGTATATAAAAATGTTGAACAAGTATTTGTAAAAATGTTGAACAAGTATTTGAAAAAATATTAATCATATATATAAAAATGTTGAACAAGTATTTGTAAAAATGTTGGTCATGTATATAAAAATGTTGAACAAGTATTAAAAATATGTTGAACAAGTATTTAAAAAATGTTAAACAAGTATTTTTTAAAAATTGAACAAGTATTTGAAAAAAAGTTTAACATCTGGAAGCTGGTGGGGTAGTTATTAGCTGCGCTGGGGATCGATGCCTAGTCTTCATGGCAATCACCAGAGCAGGTAACCACCCCATTAGTTTCCAATTACTGGTTAGAAAAGGGATCGCGACCAAGTAGAGATGACTGAGCCGGTCTTCTCCATTATTTCATTCTTTTTTTATTTTCTTTCTATATTATTTTTTCAAATACTTGTTAAAAAATACTTTTTTAATTTTTTTCAAATACTTGTTCAACATTTTTATATACATGATCAACATTTTTACAAATACTTGTTCAACATTTTTATTTACATGATCAATATTTTTTTAAATACTTGTTCAACATTTTTTTCAAATACCCGTTCAACATTTTTTTTCAAATACTTCTTCAACATTTGTTGCAAATGCTTGATTAACATTTTTATATATACATGATCAACATTTTTTAAAATACTTCTTCAACATTTTTCAAATACCTATTCAACAGTTTTCAAATATTTGTTCAACATTTTCAAATACTTGTGCAACTTTATTTTTAAATGCTTGATTAACATTTTTATATGCATGATCAACATTTTTTCAAATACTTCTTCAACATTTTTCAAATACCTACTCAACAGATAGATGGCTACATGCACCTGTCGGCCTAGAGGAAGCAGACTGGGTGCCAATCGGCCAGCTGTGGGCTGACTGAGGCCAATCGGCCAGCAGTGGGCCGACTGGATCCAACCGGCCGCCAGTGGGCTGATTGGGGGCCAATCGGCCAGCAGTAGGCCGACTGGATCCAATCGGTCAGCAGTAGGCCAACTGGATAATATTTTTAAAAAATATAATTACGGCGTAATATTTCTGAAATTTAATATAAAAATGTATTATTTTAAAAAAATTAGCACGTTTTGGAGCGTATGGAAGAAGTTGCGTATAAGTTGGAATTGCCCGAAGGATTGTCAGCAGTTCATGATGTATTCCACGTGTCCCAGTTAAAGAAGTGCCACGCAGAGATGGCTGATATACCACTGAGAGATACAGTGCCACTGGAAGCGATTCAGTTGGACAGTGATTTGACCTATGAGGAGAAACCAGTTAAGATTCTTGAGTATGCTAGCCGAGTCACCCGCAGCAAGGTTATCAAGTTTTGCAAAGTTCAGTGGAGCCACCACACAGAGGATGAAGCCACCTGGGAGAGAGAGGAAGATCTGCTGAAGGACCACCCTCACCTATTTTCTAGCCAACCCGAATCTCGAGGGCGAGATTCATCTAAAGGGGGGTAGGTTTGTAACATCCCAAATTTTCAATTTGGAATGTTATACATAGATCATCATTGCATATCATATTTTATTGCATTTTGGGTTGATTCTAGAAATTCTAAGCAACTCAAGGACCCTTGGAGAGAGTTGGGGATTTCGTTATTTTCATATTTGAGTTTTCTCGAATTTTGAAAATAGGATCATTTGATTTTATTTATTTTTATCTTTAATTATTTCGATAATAAAAATATGAGAGAGGGAATAAAATGACTTTCCCAAAATAAAGAAATATTGAGGATTTAATAAAAAAAGCAAATAATATTTTATTTTGGAGTTATTGCTATTTTATTAGAATTTAGGAAAAATGCGCGTTTTTCAAAATTGCATTTAGGCCCCAAATAAATGTTCATCTTAACCAGCTTGATTTTAGAAGTCGGTGAAAATTCATTTCAGAATTTTTGGAGTCCGTTTAGTATTTCTTTTAATTGTTTTTCTGCACGTAATGTTTTCTAAAAAAAACGCGAACCGACATAACCGGGCCGTGTCCGGCTAGGACACTTGGCCCGGCCGGCTTTTATAAGCGCCGGGAGGCCACCCCGAGCCCACCCGAAACCTTAGCCGCCGCCGCCCTAGCCAGCCCCCGCCAGCCCCTGCCGCCTGCCGCCGCCGATAAGTGTGTGATTGCCACTCTGTTATAAATCCTTTAAGTACTGTGCGTGTCAGCATTACTGATCCAGGGATGACACTGATGCACAGAGATCAGACTGTTTGAGGTCTGGTCGCTACACTTGAGATGGTCTTCATTGACCTCCTAAATGTGTTGTGGATAACCCTGAACCTTTGGTTATGGCCAACAATATGAAGGAACATGGCGACTTGCTCTTCCACACTGGTGGAGATGCTATCTTCTAGCACCCCCTGGTCCTAAAGGTGTGGACAAGTCTGGCAAATGGTGCTCTTTTCATTCTAAGCATCCACATAGCCTTTGGGTCGTTGCAGTTGTATATGTAGTTAGATTGGAGATCCTCTTCTGCTCTCGCATTAGCATTGAAGGACATCTTATGACAGGTTCTCAACACGACGAACAACTCTCTTGTGCATGAACATGACCCATGCCTAAATGACAGCTATCAGTGCTCCGACCTGAAGTACCAACCGCATCCGTGCGTCCATAACCTAGTCCACATTGAAGGTGCGTTAAGCAATGGGGAAATCGATCCTACACCTTGCCTAACGGCCTAACAACACAGCTAACATAAGGGAAATGCGATGTTGCTTACCGGCATCGGAGACGAGGACGACGAGGGGGAGGGGGCATGGCTGATTTAAGTACGACCAGATGGTGGCCAAATGGAAGAGTAGGAGCAGCTCGTACTGCCGGATCTGCTGTCGCCGCCGCGTCCGCAATTTCCGCGAGCCAGGCTGAGGGCCCCAGTGTTGTCTGAAAACTATCAGTACAATTGTGGTGTTTTTTTTTCTTCAAAAAACGAAATGTGGTGTTTTGGGGGGTTTTCAAATTAGAGTCTCTAATTGTGGTGTTTTCGCAATTTACTCGAACTTGCGGAGATTATACGATATACTGTAAAAAAATTACGCGTTCACGGAACTGTTGACGAGCTCTTTTTGCCCAACTTTTTTTAAACCATAGTTATTTTACAGAACCGGTGGAGATGCTCTTACGTAGTGATTCCCCCAAGTCAAAGAGAGAAAGCCGCGTCCTGCATTCCCCACTTCCCACCGCGCCACTGCAAGATTCGAGCACCGCACCGCAGTTTCGACCAAGAAGCGACTCCGCGGACGGTGGTGTGGCAGCACGAGGCAGCAGCGACGGCAGCCGCGACTCCAGGTAACGGCGACGATACATCCCCCATGGTGTGCTATTCTCCTTTTATTCTCTTGGTTTTCTTCCGGCCGTTCTTCAGCCGTGTGAATCCTCATGTGAGTTACTGGATGATGATAGATCGCGTTTAAACCTCTAATCAGATGGATCGATTGGTCGTGGTTCTAAAGAGGTTGCCGCTAATTCGGTTCTGAAACTACTTTTTTGGGTTCCCTTTTACAGTTATCTTGTTTTGGATCCACGACTTATTGAGGGCACTGTATATCCAACAGATGCTTGCTATCTCTTGGAAGTGTATTTAGGAAATATAAAAAATGCACGGGAAGTCCAACAAACGCCGCAAACATGATAACCTGGAGAGCCAACTACAGGATCAAAGTTCAGAAGCACAAGCTGTATCATTGAATCATCTGGAAAAGATCACAAACAACTTCTCTGATGAGCGATTACTTGGTAAAGGCGGTACTGGCTTTGTATATAAGGTAAGGTTACGGCATGCCCATTTAATCTTTCAAATATATATGTACCTAGCATACCAACAACGAGATTTTAAAACAGGGTGTGGAGCAAAGTGGGGAGATAATCGCAGTGAAGAGGCTTATGCCATCAATGGTGGGCGCTCAGAGTTTATTTGAGAATGAGGTTCATCATCTTATGAGGCTTAGGCACCCAAATATTGTGCGACTTACGGGCTATTGCTATGAAACAAAGAAATTTATTTTAGAATACAAAGGGAAAAATGTTTTTGGTGAGAGGCCAGAAATGTTACTTTGCTTGGAGTATCTCCCTAAAGGTAGCCTTGATGGTTATATTTCAGGTATGATAATTCAATATAGGACATGTATTGCTTCTAAGTTTTTCGTGTTCCTCCATGAATGTAGTTTGCGTGGATTGAGCGTAGCTCCTAACTGCTGAATTTTATTCACATATACTACCTCCATCCGGGTTTATTAGGCCTAAAGACAACTTCTCTTAGACCAAGACACATAGTAATTTGCTCACATTAATTTTTCCATTCCACTCCCAATGCACTCCCTCACATGCATGCAGCCAATGAAAAAGCAAGCATGAAGTGTATTAATTTCCTAGTCATGACACCAACAACAATGGCTTTCAATGCAACCAATGAAATTGTTGCATGCATGCATCTTTCCAAAGCGAGGCCTTATAAAAAGGGACATGTTTGTGATGCTAAGAAGCCTAATAAACCCGGACGGAGGGAGTACTACTAATGTTCTAACAGATTGACATGTGGTGCTAATATCTATCTATGAACAATAAAGGATAACACACAATAGGAGTTTATAGTCCTTTCATATGTTTTCTAGAGCAAAAAAAAATGTTTTCTAGAGCAAACAAATTGCTGTGAAGGAAGACAAAATGGGATAATTACCTTGCGGAGGAGAGCCCATCGTCATGGCTGTAGGGGATTAGATTAATTATTCTTGCTTGACTCAAAGTAAAAAACATATTATCCTTATGCAATTGATGCTTGGGTCTGTGATCCCTCCTAATATGATTGGGCTATGTGGATCTTCCTAATACATTTGGACTCTTCCAGTGGTGTACTAAAGTTGCAGGGAGGTAGGGGAAGTGCTCTTGCCCCTGGTCCAGATAGTAGATTTATTCTTCTGATTCTTGCTTGTTTTATTCATCATAAGAGATTCTCTTTGCATAGAGGCCTAATAATTCAATCAAAATAACAAATCATATGTCTCATCTCTAATTATCTTAAGGTTGAAGCTATGAGATACTCCCTCCGTTCAGAAATAAGATGTTCTAACTTTTTTCTGAACTGAATATATATATACACGTTTTAGTGTATTTGTTCGCTTATTTTAGTGTATATATAGTCCTTATTAAGATATCCAAAACATCTTATATTTATGAACGGAGGGAGTATATTTCTATATTAATAGTAAACTTTTCGAACCAAGAGATCACGGGGATCCTATAAGGGCGCCATCTATGTATATGGCCAACTTGCCCTTATGATGGGACCCGCATACTAATCCATAAGGCAACTAAATGCACCACAACGTATATTGGGTCAAGAATAACCAACTCGACTGAAATTCGTTTTTACCTATACTTTACTTGCTATATATATACTATATACTACTCCTTCCATTCCCTAATATAAGAACTTCTAATTTTTTCTTGATTCGTATATATCTAGACATATTTTAGTATGTATGTTTATTCATTTTAGTATGTATGTAGTTAATATTTTGAAATAGCTAAAAGGTCTTATATTAAAGAATAGAGAGAGTAGATAATATTATTCTAGTGTTGGTGGACTACTCATAAGCTTAAGGGCTACCACCAGCATTTCCAACGTAGACCCTCAAACCGCTCGCATCCGTTTGGACCGGGCGGTCCGGACGTGATTTGCCATCCAACGCGTAACCCATCAGTCCATGGACCGGTACAGATGTTCGTTTTCCTACAAACTGGAGGCAAACCAGCGAGCTTTGCGGCGTCCGGACAACCTGGTCCCACCTCCCACCCAAAACCCTCTCCCTCGCCCGCGCCCTCTCCCGCTCGAAGCGGTTGCGCACATTCATGCCAGTCGGCGCCACTCCAGAGTGCTAGTGTAGTATTGATGGCGTATCAGAGCGGATGTGAGCTCTTAATGGAGCCGGTATTGAAGCGGCACACTGGCCGAGAACGCCGCCCGCGCCACAGTCTTGTTGTACGCGCCTTCTCTCCTCATGCAACCAGTCCGTCTGCCTGCTGACATTAAACAAGTGCGGTTGCCGAGAAACCAACTCCGGTGCCCGCATGGAAACGCCACCCGTCCGTCCGCCTGCCGGCATTAATACATGGCGTGGTTGGCCTGGCCGGCACCCTCTATTTATACGTGGCCAGGCCCTCGACAAGATCCGCACCACACCTCTGCTCCCTATCTCCTCTTTGCACCATGCCTGCCATGGCCTCTAGCTCGAAAGCACTGTGGGGCAGCCTCTCCACCGAACAGAAGTAGGAGATGTAGGCACTGCTCCGGTTGGTAGGCCCACCGAGCTAGCCAGATATAGGCTAGCTTGCCGGGTAGCTCTCCAGGACGCTGATGAGTTGGCGCCACCACCCTTGCCGGTTGACATCACGTTGGGGCAGGCGCGGGCGCACTACACTGATATGAGAGGGAAGAGCAGGAGAAGGCATTCTGGAAGGCGCCACAGGACCAAAGGTACAACCTACGGCTCCTCGACGAGCACCGACTCACGGAGAAAGAAATCGCAGGTGACCATACAAACGAAAATGCCGTCACGACCATAGTGGTGGACAGTCCAATGCTCCTGGATGACCAGCACACGCTGATCCTGTCTTACCGTAGAGCCTGCGAGATCCACCACGAGTGATGGTGGCTACGCGTCCTTTGGCGGAGAGAGACGCCATGTTCGTAGCCATCGATGCAGCGGCTGAGGAATTGGATAACGAGACCGAGGACGTCATCAGCTCCACGTCGGCTATTCCGCCACCACCTTTTGCGCCCCTCCGCCATGACGACGAGGACACCGCGTCCATGTACACCGCCGTCTACAACGAGGAAAAGTACAACATTGGGGGGACGCCGCCGCTTGAGTTCCAGGAAGGCCACCACCAACGTCTTGCCGGGCCTCACAGCCGGTGAGCTTGCCTGGAGCTTAGAGCTTGCCTGGAGCTTAGAGGAGGCCACTACTCTTCCCCTCCCATTGAAGCTTCACTTCTCGGGGCTCGGGGCCGGCCGATGAGCTTGCTTCCGGACATGGGGAATACATGTCATGGGAAATGGGTGCCGCCATGGACGGCGATCATTTAGACTAGGTTAGGATAACCTAGTTTGCTATAATTTAGTTGAAATATGTCGGAAATATAATGATTTTTGTCTTGTTTAGATGAAAATAATCCGGTTTGCATGTAATTTGTCCGGTTTGTTCAAATCGGATTGAAAGGTATGCGGGCATGATTTGGATGGCCGGCTCCCGTATCATTGTCTGTGGAGACTACCGTGTGCGTCTGCGGACGGATACGATCTGAGCTAAACTTGGATATGGAAGTCTTCTTTCGTTTAGGGTGAAGTAAGACCAAGCTCATGAGCTTATTATCTTAGGTCGTAACGTTATTTAACTACATAATAGTGTGGAAAGAAAGCCTGGAGGAGTTCTAAAAAAAGACTGGAGGAAGAGTGGCCTCGAGTTTCTCGCCCCTTTGCCTTAGGACTCGTTAATTCTCTTTCTCGATGGGGTGGGGAAGGGACATAACTCAGCGGTAGAGTGTCATCTTGACGTTGTTTTAGAGGTGTGCGCTGGAGATGCCCTTTTTTTTCTTTGTGGACAACCCCTACCGTGTATATGGACAGTCCATAAGAGTGCCTTTTTGCTTATGGGCAGTTTTTTTCATACACTGTAGATGTCGTAACTAACTTGGCCCTAGGTGGGCCATGCACTATCGTACATAACATTTTCATAATCCTATTAGCTTGCGAGAACGTTTTATATTATGGGGCCGAGGGAATACATTTTTTTTTCTAAACTATTACTAATATTCTTCTCTTTCATGGACTCCTCACCCACAACCTCCTAGTGGACCCATGTCCACAACAACAATAGATTTTTCACCCGCAAAAAAGCAACAATAGACTTTCAGATAACATCTGACAAATGCTCTCTTTTTGGTACCAAATGCAGATGGATCTTCCCAACTTGATTGGCACACGTGCTACAAAATAATTGAGGGGATTTGCAATGGTTTGCACTACCTTCATGAGCAAATTGACAAGTCTGTTCTTCACTTGGACCTTAAGCCTGCGAACGTATTGCTTGATAACAATTTGGCACCAAAACTTACAGATTTTGGGCTGTCAAAACTGCTTGATCAATATCAAACTATGTTCACTCCAAATCGTTTTGGTACATTGTAAGTTTAGTGCCTCTTTATAGTCCCTTTCTTCCAATTCATCGGCAAAATTTGTTTTTCTAGTCTCTTCAGCACCACAATATTTATGCATGATGTGCATGCAGAGGCTACATGGCACCAGAATACATCGATGAAGGTACAATCACACCTAAGACAGACATATTTAGTTTCGGTGTGATAATCATGGAGCTAATAACGGGACACAGGGACTACCCAAGTGTTGCTGGAACATCTTCCGATGGCTTTATTGAGCTTGTATGGGAATTCTGTTTCAGCTTTCTCAGTTTGATTCCATTTTAGGAGACCATGTTACATTTTATCTTTGCATTACCGGCATTCTGATTCTTGTTCTGATTTCACAGGCACTTAAAAAATGGAGAAACACACTGGAGAAAGCACAGGGGTACACAAAGATAGAAGTAGATTGCCAACAAATAAAACGATGCATTCAAATAGGTCTAATCTGCGTTAATCCTGAGTGCTCCAAAAGGCCTACAACAGCAAAAATTATCAAGATGCTTAAAGGACTAGAAATTTCAGATTGTAGGATTAGCAATGAGGCAACGTCATCAGCACATCAGGTACAATCATTCAAGGGGAATGCATTTGTGGAACATGTACTATCTGACTATCTGTTACTCTTTCTTGTTCTTTCAAAAAGAGATGTCATCATAATTCATAACCCCCTAAGTGCATAAACCTTTGTATTTTGATATATGTCTCTACAATGTTAGAAACACTACAAAGCATCACTACAAAATCCATTAATTATCGAGAATAGAAAGCAGATTATAGCTGTTGGCCATCAACAATGTTGGCTGGTAGGCTGTGTACATCACTCAATGCAGAGGCCGAGGGCTTTATCACTCTTCACAAAAAGAAAAAGAACTATCTTGTCTGCTGAAACTTTTAGAGCCTTTTATTAGGTCCCCGTAAGAGTTGAAGCCCTAGGCACATATGTAGCTGTAGGTGGTCACCTGTTTCACTCGTTGTATCATGTTGTCTTTGGTCATATGTAGTTCGCATTTTGGTATTGCTAGGATTGCTTTTCCTAAGAAAATCTCAAATCAATTAGCTAATTTTGACTTTTGGTACCTGTCTTACTTCAACAAGGACTACTTTTATGTATCTTTGTACAACGTTGATGAAGGTAATATCAATATGAAGAAATGTACTAAAAATGGTTATTACGGTCCAGGTAGATACACATTAAATTGCTCCCCAAATGTACAACCAGAACAAGCGATGTATTGTTAAAGAATGTTGTGATAGACATTAAATTTACTAATAAAATAAAAATGGTTACTATGGTCCAGGTAGATACTGATTTAGTAATAAGTTACTGGAAATATGAAAAGCTATTGCTCAATAAAATTCGAATACAAAGGTCGTTAAGCATGTAGTACAACATAAGGAGGTAAGTTTGAATATATCAGTAGCAACCTTACGTTACGTCTTCATGTTAGGATATAAGTTTGTAAAAGGCTAATCATATACGTACAGAAGTGATCCTCACTAATCACAATGGATGTTGCTCCCTCTACTTTGTCATGCAAATAATTAAAAAAATCTATTACTCCCTCTGGTAAGATTTACAAGCACAATTTGTTTTATCCATTAAAAAGGCACGATTCATTTGTCCTAAGTTAAACTTTTATAAGTTTGGCTAGATTTATCGAGAAAAACTTCGTTAACAAGTTTTGACTTAGGACAAACAAAATGTGTCTTGTAAACCCGGCCGGATTCTATCATTAAGAACTTAAATACTGCTTGAAAGTCACACGAACAAACTTGTCTTAGAACATACTTCCACGATGTATAATTTCTTTTGGGTTTATAAATATATTTCAACATAAACTAGTAGTCAGAGTTGTGCATTTTAGATTTTCGATGTCAAAGCTGTATTTATCTTTTGAGAAGTTTTAAGACTCTCCCTTTTACCTTGGTAAGAGGTGATTTAATCCTAGCCATCGATTAATGGAGGGCAATTTTGACTATTGAAATATGGTAAGTACAATAAAATAAATAGGAAACATTCTGGATATATTTAGTGATTTCTCTTTCCAAGATGAGATTTTCATTTGTGCTATGTATATTCGTTAAAAGGAAAATATAGCTAGCTTACATGTGTATTTTTTGTATACCCTTCCTTGCCTTTATGTTTTAATGGCTCCATAATTTATTTCCTTATTTATGGAAGTGAAAAGTCCATACTAGCCTCACATAATCATTGACAACTTCTTACCCCACAAGAGGTAATAGTAATATTACGGATCAGTCATGAGATGTTACTCATATCGGTTTAGCACCATCTTAAAAGAGCTCTTATATATCTTCTCCCTTCTAACTGTCAGACTTCAAATGGGGTTAGTGAACAAGGAAAACCACATCCAAAAAATACACTATGTATTGAGATTTCGGAGGAAGCTGATAGACAGGATCTAGCATTGGTCTCTCTTGCAATTGCTGGTGACTGTCTATGTGGAAACTTGAAGTTGTTGTACCTGAAAAACGGAGGTAATCTTCATCTACAAGTTGTTTATTGTTGCTGAAGATTTTTTTTAATTCTGTTTCCTATGGGGTTGCACTTGGTGTTGTTGCATGCAGAACACATTTCTCCACAGGCATCCATCGTCCGCATCGTTGTCCCAGGCTCTCCCGCTGGTACTGAACTTCATGTGGACCCCTACATGCTCTCCATGCGGAGTCCCTACCTTCGTGCGATCTTTGCCCGCCACAACAATCATTATGGTGCATCTGGGGGCAGTGCGGAGGGCAACAGGATGGACCTCCAAGAATTTCTAGGCAAGGAAGTGAAGGTCGAGTATGATGCGCTGTTACTGGTACTCTTGTACCTGTACAGTGGCCGTGTCGGAGACCTTCCCGAGTCGGCGTACATATGTGCCGACGAGAACGGTTGTGCGCACCTCGGCTGCCACCCCACCGTCTCCTTCAAGGTGCAGGTTCTCTTTGTTGCCTTCACCTTCCAGGTCCCCGAGCTGACCAGCCTCTTCCAGGTCTGCATCTCCCTTTCCCTTTTGCCAATGGTCAGAATGCCGCTATCACACCTTTAATGCAACGTGCTAAACTAGTTAAAGATTCAGAGACTATGGCTCTGATACCAATTTATCAAAACTAGATGGGCAGGATAAAACCCAACAAGCTATGGTGGGAGTGACTAAGAGGTGATTGGCAAAAGAAAAGATTAGCCGAGAAATGATTCACACAAAATAATCGAAGAAAACTAACTGAGATGTGATGTTTTAACAAAGTTATAAGATCAAATCATACTGAGTAATTATTTTATATACTAAAGAAATGTAAGTCAATGCAACATAGACACACAAAAAACCGGATGATAACTGTGAATCTTCAAAACAAGCAATCTGCAGATAATGCCTTCAACAAGGCCGGATCATAAGTTTTCACCGCATCCTACCACATAGGCGGTGATGACCATGCTCAGTTAGGAAGGATGCGGTGACGACCACTTGGGTTTGTGCATCCTTCGTTCGCTTATGCTTCGTTCCCTTCTCCATGGTAGGAAGTGGTTGCATAAGGTATCATTGTTGGGTACTTTACTCGTAGTTTGGGTGTTGCCAACGATGGTGTGATGGTCTTTGATGTTTTGCTGCAGCGGATAGTTTGCCTTGCCTTGATCTGCGGATCCTTTTCCTTTTTCTTTTGTGTAATACTTTGGGTTTGTGCATCCTTGATTTCTCAACTAGCTCTTGATATCATGTTGTTGTAGAGGCCAAGTGTATTTGAGATATACTTCCTCCATTCAGAAAGTTCCTTATTTTAACTCTATGAATCTTCAAAACAAGCTTTCACTATCTGAGACATCAGATTGCAATATTGCTTTGTTCTATACTACTCCTTCCATCCCAAATTACTTGTCTTAGATTTGTCTAGATATGGATGTAGGTTGTACTACTTCCCCCATCTCAAAATAAGTGTGTCAACTTTAGTACAACTTTATACTAAAGTTAGTAAAAAGTTGAGACACTTATTTTGGGACGAAGGGAGTATTATTCACTAAGGCTGTCCCACTATCGTCATAGAATGTAATTACCTGAGTAATGTTCTTCTATCGTAGCTAAAGTTTCACCTACTAAGAAGACAATAATTCTCCTCTTTGCATGCAGCGGGATCTCTTTGATGTCCTTCATAAGGTTGAAGTGGATAACCTTCCACTGATCTTGTCTGTTGCAAACTTATGCAAAAAATCTTGCCGGAAACTGCTCGAGAGATGCCTTGAGATGGTAGTCCAGTCAAATCTTGACATGATTACTCTTGAGAAAGTATTGCCTCCAGATGTTGTTAAGCAAATTACTGACTTACGGCTAAGTTTTGGATTAGCTTCATCCGAGGACATGGGCTTTCCTAACAAACATGTAAGAAGGATACTCAGAGCTCTTGATTCCAATGATGTGGAGCTAGTAAGGATTCTGATCAAGAAAGGGCAGACCAATCTTGATGATGCATTTGCGCTCCATTATGCTGTAGAACACTGTGACTCAAAAATTACAACAGAACTTCTGGACATCGCACTTGCAGATGTTAGTCTCAGAAACCCAAGAGGTTACACTGTTCTTCACATTGCCGCCAGACGGAAGGATCCTAAAATCATTGTCTCCCTTTTAACCAAAGGTGCTCGGCCTTCCGATTTTACACTTGATGGAAGAAAAGCAGTTCAAATCTCAAAGAGACTCACAAAACATGGGGATTATTTTGGGAGTACTGAAGCAGGAAAGCCGTCTCCCAAGGATAAATTATGCATTAAGATACTGGAGCAAGCTGAAAGAAGGGATCCACAACTTGGAGAAGCGTCGGTTTCTCTTGCATTGGCTGGTGACTGTCTTCTTGGGAAGTTATTGTACCTTGAAAACCGAGGTAATATTCATCTACATATGGTGTACGAGTGTTCAAAATTAGTTCTTTGCTATGGTTACAGTTGGTGATGTTTTGCATGTGGAGTGAAGCTCTCCCTGGGCAACTAGCCAATGTGTTACTTTTTTTTATTCTCTTGGAAGTTGTGTTTTCACACAATTATTTTCATGCTTTGTAGTTGCTTTGGCAAGGATAATGTTTCCAATTGAGGCAAGAGTAGCAATGGACATTGCTCAAGTGGATGGTACTTTGGAATTTACCCTTGGTTCTAGTACAAATCCACCTCTGGAGATAACAACCGTTGATCTGAATGATACTTCTTTCAAAATGAAGGAGGAACACTTAGCTCGGATGAGAGCCCTCTCCAAAACAGGTGAGGCGCAGCTTGCTGCTTGCATTTGTATACCACTGCACTTCTACATTATCTTTAGTTTTAAACAATAATAATATTGACATGGTTAGCTGGTGTAGATAAGGTTGAAATCCTAGATTTTATCCCCTTCTCCTGTTAAGAAGTGAAGAGTGAACCCAAATATGTACTCCCTCCGTCCGGAAATACATGTCGGAGAAATGAATAAATATGGATGTATCTAGAACTAAAATATATCTAGATACATCCATTCCTACGACAAGTATTTCCGGACGGAGGGAGTACACTTTACTAATCATACATAATACTAATCGGTTGTTCAATTGCTAATGATCACTCTCGCCTGTGTGTCCGCACCGTGCTTCTGCACTTGTGCATGAACCTTTTGGAATTTATAAAATGATGCTTTACCAAGTTTATGTATCTGGACTAATTGCAAGCTGAATGTGTATACCAGTTGAACTCGGCAAACGTTTCTTCCCGAGCTGTTCAATTGTATTGGACAAGTTCCTGGATGATGAACCTGAGCTGGCTTCACTCGGAAGAGATGCATCTTCCTCGGTTTCATGACCTGCAAGATACGCTCCTGAAGGTTTTCAGCGAGGACAAGGAGGAGTTTGCCAGAACGACAGCCCTTTCATCTTCCTCATCGTCGACGTCCCTCAGCAAGGAATTTGACAGGTCGGCCTAGGAGCACCCTGGCTCATTCTTGCCATATTGGTAGCTGATTTTATTTTTTCCGTCTGAAACTGCTCGCCAGATCTTTCTTTTCTGTTTAACGAGTACTGTACTACTGTAGTAGTCTAGCATCCTCGTCAGATATGATGAAGCTGTTGGCTTTGGCCCCGTAAATCGCCTAGTTATGCTCATGTTTGCTTGTGCAGTAACAGTTGTCCATACAGTATTTTGTTGATGGAACAGCAAATGGACTTCAACATGCAGTAGCAGTTCTTGGCTTTTCTCACTAGGATGGTCGTGGAGAAACAGTAGATAGTTTCTGCTTTGCTTGATTATTCTGCATGACTGAATCAATACTAGCACTGCCCCTGTTTCTACGTCTGGCACAGTTGAACAGTCCCCATTTTACTGCGCCTTCTGTCCCAGTGTTGTTTAAATAGAAAAAATGTCTCGTTTGACCGAGGCAGAGAAAACTCAATACCAAGGCTCAGGCTCAGGGAATCCAGCAGCGCAAGCAGCCTCCAGAACGCATCCCGGCACTGGAGGGCGAACTCCCTCTTCGTTTCTAAATATTTGTCTTTCTAGATATTTTAAATGGACTACCACATACAGATATATATAGACATATTTAAGAGTGTAAATTTACTCAATTTTTTTCATATGTAGTCATTTGTTGAAATCTGTAGAAAGACAAATATTTAGAAACAAAGGGAGTATTACAAGTTTGCGTTGTTTACTGTACTCCCTCCCGGGCTTTGCTACACGTACTAAGCCATTAACGTAAATGTTACGTGATTAGCCACATGGCAAATTGTGACTAGGATGGGGGAATGAAATTGCTACACCTACGAACAGTTGTTACGTAACCTACGTAATCAAACTGCCCCCTGTTTTCTAGGGTGGCCCATGCGCCCAACTAATGACAAATTAAAAACGGCCAAATCAGCGATTACGTAAAGTACATAAAAATCCCTACATAGGTGTAACATTACGTAAGCTTTTGTAACTCATTTTCGTAAGTGTAGGATTTACCTTCCCTACCTACCGAAATATAAGACGGTTTTGCATCATCTTATATTTTGATACAGAGGTAGTATTTGTTGCTACATATGACAAGGTGCCGGCCAATCGCACAGAGCAGTATGAGTGTGCAGGTCTGTAGCTCTATAACAATCCGTTTTTGGGAATGATCTAGAAGGTTCCGGTCCCTTTTTTCGTTTTCGTTTTCCCCTTTTCAGCTTTTTTCTTTCCCTTTTTTTCAGAAAAATGTTCAAAGTTTTCAAAATATGTTTGCGGAATGCTAAAAAGAGTGAAGTGCACTGTAGGTCCCTAAACTATTCGAGGGGTGTCAACCAAGTCCTCGAACTATGAAAATCGACATGTGGGTCCTCAAACTATTGTAAGTGTCTCAGTCACGTCCAAAACCTGCCCGACCCAGTCTGACCTACCGTTGACTGTTGCCACGTCGGACAGGGGTAACGGAGGTGGATGGATATTTACAAAAAACACCCTGAATCGTTTCAGATCTCCATTCCCCAGTCCTTGCCTCTTCTTCTCCTTCTCTCCGGATCTCTCTCACGGCGATTTGGGGGCGGCGGCGCCATGGTTCGGAGCTGGAGCGCGTCAGCGAGCTCTTCCTGGCCGCCTTCCTCTGACCCTGAGGTTGGTGCATCTCTCCCTCTACTTAAGTGCTACATGTGCGGCTGGAGGCAAGTGATTCGTCTGGTTTCCAAATCTGACAGCAATCCAGGACGGGTTTTCTTCAAATGCCCTAATCACAAGGTCACTTTCGTTGTTTGAGTTAGTCTTCACTTTCGAATCAATAAGATTTCTCAAATTTTCTGCTCTTTGTTTGCTTGTTTTTTTTTGTTTTTTTTATTTTGGCAGAGAGGGTCACATGGATCTTGTGACTGCTATCACTGGATAGATGAATATTTGGATCTTGTTTTGTGCCATGGTTATAATATTCCTGAAGAGGAGGTGGAGTACATTGCAATGATTTCCAAGCCCTATCTAGACAGGGAGATGACAACCAAAGGAACGAAGCCAAACATTCGTGCTAGTTTCATAGAGAAAGATAGCAGGGTAGAAAGTGTGGTCAAGAAGATTAGCAACATTCCTGGAAATCAGATGAGCCAGATTGCTGAAGATATCAAGCTTCAGTTGGATCTTGTTGTAGGCATAGGTTGGAAGATTCTGCTTGTTTGTACCATGATTCTTGCCGTGAACTTGTATGCTGTTGTAATGAAGTAGGAGATGAAATGTGTTTTTAGTTGCCAAATGTGCAAGAAACATTGGCAGTGAACAATGTATGGTGCATGTAGCGATGACATTATGAAATATTTCCAGAATGTGCTTTGCAATATTCCCAGAATGTGTAAGCATGACAAATTTTGGCAAGCATTTCATCACATTTTTAACAAGCACTATCATAACAGGTTGTTCACAAAAGACATACATAATTGGCATGAAATCAATCATCATTGATTAGCTGAATGCATAACAAGTTTTGTCACAAAAGAGGAGTGCATCCAAAAGAGAGGGACAGTAGCATCTATCATAGCAGGTTGTTCACAAAGGACACATATGCACTCCATACGCTATTACAAGGTGTGGATCAAAACCTACAGCCAAGACATGGGCATGAGCTCAGGTTTCCTTCAACACCTCAAGGAGCTTTTCTCTCTATGCATTAATCTTTATGCACTTTCTTTGCCTTTGTTCTTCTGGCCTGTTTTGCTGCTTCAGTTACACCAACAGCAGCATCTGTTTGGGAGGCTTGAGTGGCTGCTCTAGGAGGCACAAAGGCTTGCCTAACAGCCGCTTTAGGAGTTGTCTTTTTCTTCTTAGTTTGTAGCTTTTTCTTCAGAAATTGTGCACTGGTTGTAGCCCTGGGCACTGGCAGCTCATCTCTCCTCGATGCAATGAAAGAGCACTCAGGAAGTGGTCCTGGTGGTGCATCAGGTGTTACTTGAGGTGCTTCAACCTACACAATTGACACCACGGATACATCCGTTTGAGCGACAAGTATTTCCGGACAGATAAATATGTAAACAACATTTCCTTGGAACAAATGCTAACCTCTTGGAATAATGTTGACAGCACCGAACATATGTGTGAACTATCCTCACCAGGTATCTAATTTCAAATGTAAAACCATGTCAATTCATTGCATTTGGATACAATACAAGTAGGCATTCAAGCATGGTTAGTTCAGTACCTGTGTGATGGTCATCTCAGTGCATTGGGAGTCCTGTGCAGTAGGTGCTTGAAGCAAATTTCTTCTCACAGGTAGTTTTTCTAGTGCAGGCACTCTATCAGATGGATGTAGTACAGTGCATTTTCTTCTATTGTGTTCTGTGGAGTTGCAGACACTGCAATGCATTATTACTCCATGCTTGCTAAACCTAGTGCCTTCATCCTTCTCTGAAGGGTGAACTATTCTCTTCTTCTTTTTCCTGCCTGCCTTCTTCTCATACTTTGGAGGTTCTACCGGAGGACCATTTGTTTTCTGCCACTCAGCTGGATCTCTGCAAGGCATGATGACATGTCCATATGCCAACCTATATGCCTCAATACTATAGCAAGCAGCCACTTTGTCCTCTGGTTTAATTCTCTCAAACCTCAAACAAGCAATACTATGGCTACAAGGAATCCCTGTCAGCTGCCACCTTCTGCAACTACATTTGTTCTTGAGAATATCAACAACATATTCATTTTCACGGCTCATTACCTTGAACACGCCTTTGCCAGTAGGACGTTCATGGCAACTTTTTCCCCATTCAATGTTTTTGTCAAGTTTTTTCTTGATCTTTGGGCATAATGGTAGTTGAGACCAGTCATCCTCACATTGCTTTCTATTTGTATACCATCTTGTCATCAACTGCGCCTTGATCTTCCTCAACATGCTCAGAATTGGTAACTCCCTTGCATCAAGTATCCATTTGTTGAAGACCTCACAACTGTTGTTGAGGAGTAGATCACATTTAGGTAATTCTTCAAAAAATGCCCTACACCATGTGTTAGGGGCAAGGCCATCCAAATATGCCCATGCTTCTAGATTCATCTCCTTCATCTTGTCCATGTTCTTTTTCCATGTAGCCATATTGTTGCTTCTTGCTATTGCCCACAACTGGTTCTTTAATGTTTCACCCTTCCAATTGGCATGGAAGTTCTGGTATAAGTGCCGTACACAAATCCTATGCTCCGAATCAGGGAACATATCGTCCATAGCATTAATCAAGCCTTTCTGCCTATCACTCATGATTGTCCATGGTTTAGTGTTCTGAATTAACAGATCCTCTTTCAAGGTCTTGACAAACCATGTCCAGGTGATGGTGTTTTCAACCTCAACTACTGCAATGGCTATTGGAATGATGCAGTCATTGGGATCAACTCCTATGGCTGTTAGAAGTATTCCTCCGTGCTTTGTCTTAAGGTGCCGCCGTCTCCGTGCAGGCGCCGCCATCGACGCCTAGGCAGGCGCCGCCGTCTCCGTGCGGCCACACCAAATCGCCATGGCGCCGCCGCCCCCAAATCGCCGTGAGAGAGATCGGGAGAGAAGGAGAAGAAGAGGCAAGGACTGGGGAATGGAGATCTGAAATGATTCGGGGTGTTTTTTGTAAATATCCATCCACCTCCGTTACCCCTGTCCGACGTGGCAACAGTCAACGGTAGGTCAGACTGGGTCGGGCAGGTTTTGGACGTGACTGAGACACTTACAATAGTTCGAGGACCCACATGTCGATTTTCATAGTTCGAGGACCTGGTTGACACCCCTCGAATAGTTTAGGGACCTACAGTGCACTTCACTCTGCTAAAAATGTACTAGTTTTTTTAATATTCATAATTTTCAATAAATTCATATTTTAAAAATGTTCTAAAATTTCTGAGAAGGTTTAGAATGTTCAGCAATCGTTCATGAGAGTGGTTTTAAATGTTGCATTTCTTTCTAAATGTTCACGTTTTTACAAACAAAAAGCTCACAAATATCATAAAAAAGTTCATCTTTTTTTAATATCCATGTATTTGTAAATGTTCTCGAATTTAAAAAAATATTTTTAATAAATTTATTTTCCGTGTTTTCTTGATCGAATAAGCTCTCCATCTCCATGTAGTACTAGCAGTATCAGTTCCGGGATTCTAACTTTGATGAATTTCTTGAATGGTGACTTAGATGATTGATGTCATTGTATACATGGCTGGCGAGATGTAAACGAGTGTAGTGCCGGTTTTTTTTTTTACCCTGTTACCGGCACCCGGCACAGTGAAGAAATCCACAGCAGAGGCAGAAGCAGAGCAAACTCAGACACCACAAAAAACCATGTGCCGTTAATGCGAGGCGAAGTCCTCCCCGCTGCGACGCAGCAGCAGCGCTGCAGCCTAGGCAGGCCGAGGAGCAGAAAAGCCTGCGCACTTTTCCTAAATCCGCTCTACTCCTACGCCCGTAGCCTTTCGATGCTACGACGGCACGCTCGAACTCTGAAACGGCAGCCGCCCATGCATGCACACCCACAGGCCACAGCCACGCAGCAATCTCTGGACTAGTTTCCGTGCCCATAACTCTCACGACCTGCAGCCGGTCGTGGCATCGCCATTTCATTTTACATGCACGCGTCTAGCTAGTCATTCCCTAGCCAGGCTGCTGAAACCTTATCCCAGAAACAGAGGAGGGGCAGCAGGAGAAGAGCGCCGGCCGGCTCCAGAATCTATGTGCTCTGAGGAAGCGAGGAGCGCAGAGCAGAGCAAAGTCGGAGACGCTTTGGGCCTGCCATTTCACTGCCGGCTTCGCTTCGCGTGATCGGGCGATGTGCGGGGCTCGGCGGCAGCGGCGCACGCCGCGGGAGCGGGACGTGGCGGCTTGGTTCTTCTTCCTCGCCTGCTGCCTCCTTGTGCTCGCCGTGTCTAGAGCAGAGGAGCCGCGCGCATCGCCGGTACATCTCTTCATAGCTCACCGTCTGTTTTTCCAGCACCTCCTCGCTTGATGCATGCGGGACATATATGTACGCATGCTGCTGCATGACGCGTTGGTCCGTTGATGATTGTTCAGGTGAGCGGGAGAGGAGGAGGGGAGGAGCAGCGGCTGAGCAGGGTGGGGTCGAGGCCGCCGTGCTGCGTGTGCGAGCGGAGGTGCGGCGGCTGCGCGCCGTGCACGGCCGTGCAGGTCCGCGCCGGAGTCGGGCCGCTGTGCGCCAACTACGAGCCCGTCAGGTGGAAGTGCAAGTGCGGCGACGCCGTCTTCGACCCATGACTCCATGAGATAATTCAGATGAACGCGTGCACTGCAGCCTGCAGGGCAAAGCGGCGGCGGTCGATAATTCAGGTGATGCCGTTCGCCATCGCCATGCAATGTACAGCAAGTAGAAATAAGGTCCGCATGCATGCATGGCTGGTACTAGGAGTAAATAGTGTAGTAATACAAGCTGCGGCAGCACAGGGATTGACTGTAACGAGTGCCAGAGAACAAGCGGCCAACTTAGGTATTACTCTTCGTGAACTGTTAGGCCTTGATGAGGCGCCAGTGAAGGAGGTAGTAATTACATATGTCAAGAATGGGCCTCTCGTCGAGCCTGCGCAGGAAAAGGATCTACCTCCACAAATGAAAGGTCTGCTGAAATGGTACAAGGGTTACATAAAAAATAAAAACGCCAAAGAATATATTTATGCGGAAGTTAGACATGAGCATCACTTCAAACATTACTATGTACAAATTGAACTGAGTGAATTGTTCCAGCTTTTCAATCTGCGCGAGCTCGATAAATCTATCATCAGTTGCTACGTTCTGTAAGTGATTTATTAATTTCTACCCCATCTCGTTCATATTACCTGCACTATATATATGTCCTAACTATATTGTTGTGTCCGCTATTATACATGCAGAATGAAGATTAAGGAATGCAGAGTAAGGAACATCCATGATGTTGGGTTCATTGACCCACACATCATTAATGGACATGTGTTGGAGCGTCACCCCGCCGACGTGGAGGCAGACCTGTGGCAGTTTCTTACAAAGCAGGAACTCAAAAGTGATATTCTATTTCCTTACCATTTTGAGTGAGTGTTTCTGTCTTGAGCACATTCTCTTTTGTTTACTCCATGCATGGTATGTGGCCGGCTAATCGATGAGTTATGCATGACGTATTGTGCATGTATCGTGTCCGCAGGTTCCACTGGATTCTGCTAGTAATTAAAGTTAACACCTCAGAATGTCTCGTCCACGACTCTGTGAATATGGATCCAAAGCTTTGGGGCGG